GGCTCTAGAGGATAATGAGTTGCCAGTGAGATGAAGGGACAAGGTCATCATTTGACATTGAAGATCCTCCCCCATCACAGGCATTTTTGGTGACGTTCCACTCAAATGTTTTCCTAACAGAATGATCACAGCACCTCTCCCTCCACGGGACTGGAGTGGAGCATGGACAAAGGCAGGTCCAGCGTCCCAGCACTGTCCCGAGCTGTGACCAGGCTAGGGGTCATGTGTTGTGTCTGCTTGAACACTGTCCCTTCTTTTTAAAAACGTGTTCACGCCACCCCCAAACCTTCCAGTTTGCAGAGACATGTTCTGTGTGTGGAGAACATTCTCCAGTCTGTTAGTAACTCTCTGCAGGGCCACCTGCATAGGTGTGAGGTCTGTCCTCTCCCCCCTGGACCCAATCATAACAGACTAGAGAGCCTGATTTCATGCCGTACTGGCACCATCTAGAAATCTGTATTCCTCTTTGAACCAGGGGCCTCACCAATTAGATAGCTGATTCTGATTCCACACTCCCCCTCCTGTTATGATTTCAACTCATTTCTCCACTTTCCAGAATCCTCTCTCACTCTCATCCTGGGGCTTCCCCATTCTTTCATGTCCCCCCAGCTACTCCCTGACACTCTTCCCGCTGCTACGTGGGCTTCACTCCAAGAGGGAGGCAGCCCCACAGCCTCCATCCATGCTGGGTGATGCTGTGGTCACAGCTGTCTCCTTGCTTTTGTCTGGCTTCCATGCAGACTCAAGAAGGTGGGAGCCATTATAACTGGAATAATGCCAACACAGATGACTCCCCTTAACTCGGTGCTCCTCTTCTAGGAAACGATAGTAGCTTAGTGGTAAGGAGTTTGTTCCTTATTAACCCAAAGGCACACAGATTGAATCCACACACTGCTACACTGGAGAAAAATGGGCAATTCCTCCCACACAATTCACTGTCTCTAAAAACCTGCTGGAGGATCAACTATGAGTTGGTTCCGACTCAGTGGTACACAACAACAACATGAATTCCTGCCTAGGACACTTCTCTGTCAGAATCTTCAAATTCTGCCTCAAACCACCTTTCCTGGAAAAGGCAGGTTGTAGGCTAATACCCATCAAGTCTACTCTTCATAGTGAATTCATAGTGAATCCTGTGAGAGAGTAGAACTCTACTGGGTTTCAGTGGTTGACTTCTCAGGAGGAGATCACCAGATCTTTCTCCTGAGGGAAAACTGGGTGCATTAGAACCTTTCAGTCAACAGCCTAGAGCTTACCCGTGTGGGCCACCAAGGACTCGAGGGATTCTGTCATGTTGGTTTTAGGTGTCCTTGAATCAAGTACAAGTCATAGCAACTCTGTGAACAGCTGATTCCTGTCCTGCCCTGTGCCGTCCTCTGTCTCTGGAATACTCAAGCCCATCACTGCTCTGGGTCTAGCCGTCTAGTTCAGAGTTTTCCTCTCCTTTGTCATAACCCCCATCTTTCCAAGCTGATGTCTCTTTTCAAAGAGTAACCTCTCCTAGCAACATGCTAGAAGTATGTGAGATTAAGCTTCAGCATCTTTGCCTCCAAGGAGCACCCTGGCTGCTCTTTCTCCAAGACATTCCTGTTTGTTCTTTTGGCAACCCGTGGGATAGTTAGTACACTTCACCACGACAGCTTAAAGGCATTCATTCTTCTTCAGTCATCTTTATTCCTTGTCCAGCTCTCAGATGCACAGCAAGTGACTAAAAAGACAATGGCCTGAAGCCAGGTACACCTTAGTCATCAAACTAACATCATCACTCCTCAATAATTTGAAGAGGTCCTCGATTACAGATTTTCCTAGTACAATATTCTTCTGATCTCCTGACTGTGGGGACCAAGCGTGTCGACTATGGATCCAAGTAAGATGAAGTCACTGCGTTACAATCTTTTCTCCATCTGCCATGATGTTGCCTATAGGTCCAGTGGCGAGGATTTTTGTTTTCTTGATGTTGGGATGCAATCCACACTGAAGGCTACAGTGTTTAACCGACAGCAAGGGCTTCAAGTCCTCCTCACTTCAGCAAACAAGGCTGGGCTGTCTGGGTAAGTTCTAGCCCCTTCCTGTCACTCCAAGAGGGAAGTCACATACCAAGTAGCAACTACTGAAACCTGTCCTAACCTCAGCCTTCACACTCACAAACTTTATGGGGATAATCAACGTAGGAAATAGTCCACGCTAGAGAAACTGGAATAAAATTTGACCAAGAAAAGCCAAGTGTGAATAAAAAAAGATTTATTTCTGAAATATGAAAACAACTATGCAGTGAGGGACATCCCATTCACTTGTCCCTTCCACATTTTGTGTCACAAAGACATACAAAGGCTTTGGAAAAAACCTCCAAAGGGGATTATACTTGAAACAGGCACTTGGTTTTCGTGCTCGTTACAATCACAGTGAGTCAAATAAAGGTAGCTTTACAGCTTACTAAACCTCCAATTTGTCCTCAATGGAAGCGGTTTCAACATTGTGGAATCAGCAAAGATTCCACAGCAGGAGTCTGGCCTGACCAGAGAGATAGCAAGTGATTCACAAGAAAAGTCAAGTAGAAAAACTTCAATTGATCAAGCAAGAGCAGACCCTCTTCAGAATGGAGGTCCCCAAGCAAATAGGCAAAATTAAGAGTCAGTGGAGGGGCAAAGCTTGATGATGGGAGAGCCGGCTCAAGTCATGAGAAGAACATGGTTTATAAAAATTATTCTGGAAACAGATGGCGACAGTGACTATACCACATGGAGAATGTAATTCGTGTTAGTAAATCGTATACTTAAAAAACCAGTTAAAGCAGTTAGAAAAATCTGTTACGCCTATCTTACCACAATAAAATTCTTTAAAAAAATACTTAAAAACTCGCAGGAACACACAGAATCAGTCTATTTAGCAAGTGGGCAGTTCTACTCTGACCTATAGGGCAGCTTGGGTCAGAATTTTACTTACTGGCACAGAACGACGATAGTCACCAGGAATGCTACGTCTGAGACTGAATTTCATGGATGTGCCCCCGGACTGGATCAATATTATAGGCCCAAGATCAACTCCAAAAGCCTCCCTCTGCCCTTGCCGGACCCCAAGAGGCTTCAGTGCGGGGAGGCTGGTTGCCCACCAGGCTAGGTCCCTCACACTCTCCCCATGGCCAAGTCAACAAGGCCCCCTAACTAGCAAACAAGCTGAGGTCAAGAGAGCTGTAATTGTGACAAGGGACATGTGGACGCCACTCAGATGTGAGAGCCCCTTGAGATGGGAGGGGACTCAGCCCTGTCAGCACTGCCCTTGTTAATAGGAATAGGTGGCGGGGAAAATAGCACTGTGGGAAGTGGTATTGAACCTCTGAGAGCAAGGCTCCACTCAGCGTTCTTGCGGGCCCACTGGAGATTTCTGAGCTGACACCCCAATTCCCTAGGCCTTGGGTCAACAGGAAGGTGGGACTCACAAAGTTCTAGAGCTGGAAACTGCCCTGATGGGTGGCTAAGAAGAGGGGGTATTTAGTTCTGAAACAAGAATGGGTGTGTTTCTGTGTGCATGGTACGAATAATAGGTTTGTGTAAAGTGTGTGTGTGTGTGTGTGTGTGTGTGATATTTGTGGTACTTGTGGAGTGCTTGGTACATATGTGTGTGTGGTATGCGTCTGTATGTGTGTGATAGCTATGTACAGTCCATCTGTGGTCATGTGTATATATTTGTGTGTGATATTGGTGTGTAGTACAGAGAGTCTGTGTGTTATGTACAGGGTGTGTGGTGTGAGACATCTATGTGTGGTACTTGTGCAATGGCCGGTACGTGTGGTATCTGTGGTTAAGTATGTGATGTGTGTTGTGTGTCTGTATCTCTGTGTGTAATATTTGTGTACATGGGGGGGTATGTGTGCTGAGGGTGGTAACGCCTGCGCTATGTTCAAAGGCAGGCCCTCAGGACAAAGTGGTCAGTGAATTCCACAGACCCGCACAGCTGTGTGATTTCAGCATGACAAGGGACACCCACACAACAAAGCTGAAACATCAGTTACCTTCAAGAGGCCAGAAACTTGTCAGCATCCAGATATCCAAACTTTGCTAGACACCTGCCAGCTTATTTCAAACATTACGTGATGCAATGACTGTTTACCAGTTTGTTTCATGCTTGTTTCTTAGAGGTTTTTTCGCTTTTGACTACGACTATTTTAAAAAATCGTACATTGTTACCAAAGATAAACACACATAATAACAAAAGTTCTAGGAAATAGTCTACTTTGTGTACTAAGGGACCCTGGGGTGTGCCCACGTGTCTCCTTCCATTTGGTCCTGAGAGCTGACCCCTCGTGGGTCGCATGGCCCTCAGGAGGGCCTCAGTGAGGTGAAGGGCACAGTCCTCATTCCCACACACCCTCGGGCCACAGTGGGGCCCGGCTGTCTTCCGTCCCATAAGAAACCACTCCCCGGGAAGTGGACTCCATGTGGCAGTGCCATAAGTGGGAGTCTCCAAGCATTATGAGGATGGTGAAACAGTCCTTATTTCTAAAGAAAAGGGGGTCCTACGCGGTGGGCGGGGAGCTCTGGTTATGTCGTAGTTGTTGCCGCTAACCGAAAGGCTTCAGGACTCCAGAGGTTTGAATCCACCCACGGTGACTCTGCTAGAGGAAGGTGCACCGTCTCCTCCGGTGATTGACAGCCTCGGAAACGTGCTGGAGGGTCTCTGTGAGTTGGAATCTATCCCACTGCAGTGAATTTTTCTGTGACACAGTGGGCACCGTGGCTTGGTAATGCAGAGGTTAAAGCGCATGATTCGGATCCACCAGCTCCTCCACAGGAAAACTAAGTGGCAGTCTACGTCCCCAAGGATTTCAGCCTCAGAAACCCCGCTTGTGCCATTCTCATCCTTCCACAGCTGGACTTGGCTCACCTGCAAGGCAGGGGTTTTTTGGTTTTCGTTTACAGGGTGGGCTGGCTCAGGCTCAGGCCTGCAGCCATCAGCCCGCGAGGCAGAGACTGGGCACAGTTGCAGGGCCCTGGACGAGTTCCTCAGGGTCTCCCCAGAGGCTCCCCAGTCTGCTGGAATTTCTGGATGAGGAGGATGAGCCTGGGGACGTCTGACTGCTCTGGGAACATGGCCATCACACGGTCCACCTGCTCCGGCGGGAAGATGCTGCACAGCGCGGTGCGTGCCCGGGCTCGGGGGTCCACTGTACGCTCGGCAGCGCGGGGCACGTACCCAGAGGGTCCCCCAAAGGTGTGGTCGCCCCAGCCTGACTCTCCCCAGGCCGAGCGGCCGGCAGGGCGCTCGAACACTTGTGGGAGGCCCCATGGCTCTTCGGGGCCAGCAGGGAGCAGGTCATCCTGCAGGCGCGAGGGGCCGAGCCTACCCTGCGGACGGGGCAGTGAGTGGTCACTCGCGGAGTTCGGGAGGCTAGGCGGGGCTGACCGTGGAGCCCTGCGACCCGGGGGTCTTGCCTGTGAGGCGCCAGATGGGTGACCTTCAGTGGCCGCCCTTTCGGGACAGTGCAGCCCGGATACAAGGCCACAGCTAGGGCCCAAGGAGCGTGCCCCGAGCCGCGCCAGGTCATCACTGATGGCCAGCCGCGAGAAACGCCCCTCCAGGGCCGCAGAGTCGGGGGGCAGCGGTGCCAGCGGGAGGGTGCACATGCCGGAGGGCAGGGCCGGGCGGAGAGAGGCCACGAGGGCGTCCCCAGAATCTCCTGCCGCCGCGCACGCGTCCTGCCGCCGCTCCGCCCCGGGGGTGCCCGTGCAGGCCCGGGTTTGCGCGCGCAGCTCATCGGCCACAGCCAGCTGCGCCCGCTGAGGCCTCTCCGGGTGATAGAACTTGCACTTGATGCCGTAGGTGCATTTCTTCCCTGCAAGGAGCAAGAGAGAGGGCGCTAGTGAGAGCTCAGGCTTGGAGAGGCAGTGCGCACAGGGCAATGCCCTCACCACCTCAGTCCATGCCTTTCCACCAAAAGTCCTCTGGAACTGGGGTCCTACCTGGACGTACATGGGATGGGATTTCAACGCCCCCTCCCCAGGCTGAGATGTACACCAACCCCAGGGCCGAACAACCGAGTCTGGGAACTCCCTTTGGCCACAGACTGACTCCAAGCTTCTAGGTGCAACCCCTCTCCACGTCCACCCTGTCAGGATCCCTGTGGATAGGGCCAGCCTGGAGTGTGGAAGCAGTGGCCCTTATACCAATGCTGCCTCAGTTTCCACCTCTGACATCCTCCTATACTAACACTAAGCCTTCTCTGTACAGACAGTTCTAACACAGGCCATGAAACATTTCTCATCCAACTCGGCGAGCTTGAGTGGAAGGGGCGGGACAGGAGGAGTGGCCAGCGGGAAGATACGTGGTTGTTAGATAAAAGATGAGGCGGAAAGGGAAAAAAGAAGCTAGTCCCAATAAAAGAATAAGCCTTAACTGCGTGGTCTGAGAAGGACACCAAGTGACCACGTGTAAATAGCCCTTTCCTATTATAGGGGTTTTGAGGGAGGACTGGGGAAGATGGTATTTTTCTTGGAATTTAGAGCTGTTAATTAACTTGGGGTTGGGCTGTGTGATCAGGCCCAGAGCCTTATCAGGATCCATTGTCTGGTCTGGTCTTTGAGCCTTATATCAGGTTTCTCAAGGAGTGATCAGGCCTGGGGACCACTGCTGGGTCCTTCCTCCGGTGGTCTTGGTGTCCTAAGAGGGGGTGTCTGTGGGCACCCAGGATGTCTAGAGCCACAAACAGCAGAGCTTCACATAACTTGTCAAGGCAAAGTGAGTGAAGGCTAACCCCAAGTCCTTAGGAGAGGTGGGGGGAGTGGTGCAGAAAGAGGACGTGGGTGTCAGGTGAAGGGGCTACAAAGGGGAATTTGGGGTGCCAGCAGCCTCGCTACTTCCTGGGCACTGCTGTGTCCTGTGTGAGAGGTCCAGCCCACGCAGACACTCAGTGCAGCAGACGCGGGGAAGTCCTTCCATCCATACCATCAGGGTAACTCAGCTGCTTAGGGCTGAATCCAGAGGAGAGTCCAAGCTGCTGACCACGGTGCTGGTTACCGAGCCCCTGAGTTACCCCTAACACAGCCCCAAGGCAAGGGACACCACCCACCGTAGGGACAGTGCTGCCAGGATGGGGCTGGGGGCCTGGGCTTCCGGCTCAGGAAGTTGCTCAGGGTGGGTCCTCTGCGGCCCAGGGGGTCGTCAGGAGGCATGAACCTAGAAACAGACACAGCAAGGGACAACAAAACGGATTTATGATTCGCTCTGACTTGGAAAGCTGACCCAGGCGCCTTTCCCCGCTAGAACCACGGACGGCCCCAAGGGTTTTCAGGCAGCAAAATTTGTCCCTTACAACACAGATGATGGGGCTGCCTGGGCCAGAAGGAAAGAGTTTCTCTTTTGTGGGTTAAGGTCAGTGCACTGCCTCCCTGGGAACTCATTTTACATAACGCAGGATCCGGGCCTCCACACTATTATATTTTCTCACAGGCTCATACTGTTTCAGAACAACTTCTAACAACCCCCAAGCTGAATCTTATCCATTGCGACTGAAGTCTGAGGCTCTAGAGTCCTTATGTCCTGTGTCCTTGTGTCCTTCCAGCCACCAAACAGGCCGCTATAGAATCAATTCAGATGCATGCGTCTCCATGCTATGCAGATTAGAACTGTGTGTGACAGGACTGTGAAGACCGACTTTTCAGAAGCGCTTTGCCAGGCCTCTCTTCCAAAGTGCCTCTGAGTGGGTTCAAACTGCCGCCCTTCCTGTGAGTAGTAGAGGTTTGTGTCCCCCAGGGAATCCACTGCCTTCGGGTGACTCAGGGCTACACAGGGCTGACAAACAGTTCCTAGAAGGTTTTGGTCCCTCTTTTAGCACACCTCACACTGTGCCAAGTGCAGCTCTGAGCGCGTCAGGTGATGGAAAGACAGCAGCAGAGCTTGTACAGAAGCTGATCCCAATATCCACCCCTAACAGCCCCACAGGCTCTGGGTTTGCCTCCGTTCTTGGCTCCACAACCCAGTATGTGGCATCATCTGACGCTCGCCTGGCTTCTGTCATGCCCCCTCTCTCTTTGGTGGCCTTAATTCCTAATGCACAAGACAGAGAATATGCAGGTGCCCACAGCCCAAAGGGGACAGAATTCCTCAAAAGGAAAATTCCTCTCCTCCTTCAGTGAGATCTGCTTTTTCACACAAAGGCTTCCGTTCCCTAGAGACCTATCCAGATCAGACACAGGTTGTCTGGAGAGGCGCGGACTCAAAGTGCAGGCCTGGTTCCTAGACTGGTGCCTTGCCAGGAGCCATACAGGGGTCTACTCCACAGACCCCAAGCACCAGTCCGGCCTGGTACTCAGCCACGGTCCTGAGAAGTCGCTGGCTCAGACTCCAGCTGAACAGCCCACCCAGAGCAGAGTCCAGGCCAAGAATCTGGGAGTGGCCATTGTGTTGATTAATGTTCAAAGACTTCCCCTTCTACCCACGGTGCCAAGAGGGCCCTGTGGACCCATCCAGGGCACTGAGGTGGGTGCATTCACCCACAGAGGATGGCAGGCCCTCAGCAGAGGCCTGTGTGTCAAAAGGACTTGGCCTGGACCCCAGGCTGTTATAGGCCAGATGCAGCTGTGCCCCGTCAGACGTCAGTTAAGCATTTTCTGGAACACAAAGTTGTCAGGCTTGCCAGATCCCTCAGAACCTACACTGGACAGTGGGAACCACCAGCTTGTGTAGCTGGAAAGGACATCAGGGGCTACTACAGGACAGCATTTGCCCTGGAGTTCAGGAGGGGCATGCTCTCTGGAGGTAGGTGGAAGAGGGAGCAATTGCGTCCCCTGGTGTCCAGTCCGTGAATGACACCTGTTGCCCAGAGCACAAGTCTCTGGGATCCCAGCACCACCTTAGAGGGAAGAGTGATGAGTCGCCTTTCCAAGAAGACAAGTGAGATTCAAAGAGAGTGACTGTTACCTCTGTTAGTGCCTTGGCCAGTAACTCAAAGCTCTCTCCACACAGTCTCCTCAACTATCAGAGGAAAGAGCTGGTCACTGTGTTCACGTGGCCTGCCCACTAGGCAGTATCTTCCTAGCTTCCAGGGCCCTTCACCAGGGCCACAGGCATACACTCACTCACTCATTCATCTACAAACAGTACAAACAGCCCATTACATGCCAGGAAGTCCCTTAGTGGTGAAAAAAGTTGGCTCACTCAGTGAAATGGTTGGAGGTTCAAATCTACTGAGAGATGCTATTGAAAGTCCTGTGGAATCCTAGGGAGCTCTGGTGGCATACTGCCTAGGGAGTTGCCCTGCTAGCCCAAAGGCCACACCTGTCTGGTGGTTCAAATCCCTCTGTGACTCCTAGGGAGAAAGATGGCCAGGCTCCTCCAGTGTGATTTACAGCCTCTCAAAACCCATTGGAAGGTTAGCTGTGAGCCACTTCCAGCCCACGGCAATGAGTAAGGAGTTTACTTCTGCCACATATGGGGTCACCATTAGTCAGAATTGACTCCACCATAAATGGTTATTATGTGCTGGACACACTGTTGTTATGTGTTGTCAGGCTGGAACCAGACCATAGCAGACCATCCAGTGGCTTTTCAGAGAAGGAAAATCGCACAGGAGGAGATTGCCAATCTTTCTCCCACAGAGAAGCTGGTGGATTTGAACCATTTGCCTTTGGTTTTCCAGTGCAACTCCTTACCACTAGGTAAGAGCTCCTAGGCACTCTGTGGTTATTGCTGTTATTGTTGTTGTGTACCAACCCATCGAGTCAGAACCAACCCATAACTGACTCTGGCAGGTTTTCAGAGGCAGTTAATTCACTGGAGGAGATGGCCCATCCTTCACACAGAAAGCAGGGCATTTGAACTGCATGCCTTCGAGATTGTAGCACAGCTTTTTGCCACTAGGCCACCAGACACACTGAGGGGACCACAAACCAGAATAGTGGCTGCCGGTAGGAGAGCCCACAGGAGGCAGAGCTGGGGACAGAAATGGGAATGAGGACAGCCCCCCGCGTGCTACCATGAGAAGGGCCCTCCCCAGCCCACCACACAAAGCGCCTGCCTGCAGATCCTCTGCCACGGCCCCGCTCCTGCCTGCCGCAAACTCAAGCACGTTTGTAATGGACACGCCAATCATATCTCCCCCACCTTAGTTCCACCAAGGGGTCCTCAACCAGCCCCTGCTGACCTGTTTGTGTCATGTGACTTGTCCCTCTCCCTGTCCCTCCTGAGTCCAGGGGAACCTGACCTGTTAGGATCTTTATGGTATGTTGTTGTTGTTGTTGTTGTTGTGTGCTGAGAGTCAGTTCCAGACTGACTAGGATCATTACGGTATAGAGCACAGAAAGGGTCTGTTGTCCACGCCAAATATAATTGAAAACTTAATTCAAAACTGAGAAGGAAAAGTTGAAGCCATAAAAGAAGTTCAGAGAAATGTCTCAAAGTTCAGATTTCTCCATTCACCGACCTTTGCAGGGATCTTATCTGAAGCATTAAGTTCTTTCCAAAAATAATAGTTTTATGGTTCTCCAGTTTGGTCCAGCTGTTGAGCAACTCAGGGCTGAGGGAGTCAGATGACGTGGGTAAGGGGACAGGGCTGGGGACCGCGGGACAGCGCCAAGCAGGAAGGGGGGAGGAGCTGGGGCAGAGATGTGCAGCTTGTCTGCAGCAGCGGCCCTTCGTCCCCTGCGGGGTGTGTCCCCCACCCCGCACGCACCTGTCGTTGACAAAGGAGAACATGAGCAGCCTCTGCTCGATGAACCACTTCCACTCGGGGTTCTCGTTCTGCAGGTCTCGGTAGTTGTCGTTGGAGACGATGACGCCGTCCTGCTCGTAGGCCACCTTCACGATGTAGCGGTCGTCGTAGCAGACCACGCGTTTGCCGCTCACTCTACGGGACGGGGTGTACACCAGTATCCCCTGCCGCTCCAGCTCCTCCAGCAAGTGCCGCTCTGGGGGCCACAGAGGGTGGGCTGTCACACTGTGAGGGGCACCCCGCCCAGCACCCCCATACCCATGCCTCCTAGAGCTCCGGAGGCGACAGGGCAGGCTGTCACACAGCAGGGCACCCCACCCAGCCACCCCATATCCATACCCCCACGGCTCTAGGGGCCACAAGGCAGGTTGTCACACTGCAAGGGGACCCTGCCCAGCCACCACATACCCTCACCTTCTAGAGCTCTGGGGGCCACAGAGGGTGGGCTGTCACACTGCAAGGGGACCCCACTCAGCCACCCCATACCCACACCCCCAGGGCAGGCTGTCACACTGCAGGGGGATCCTGCCCAGCCCAGAAACCCTCACACCTCCCACAGCTCTGCGGGCCACAAGGCAGGCTGTCACACTGCCAGGGTACCCCGCCCAGCCCAGGGACCCCACACCCACATCCCCCTCAGCTCTGGGGGCCACACAGTGCCAGCTACCACTCTGCCATGGGACCCTGCCCCAGCCCAGGGACCTCCCCCACATGCACACACACACCCCAGCTCTGCAGTCACAGGGTACAGCTGTCACACCACCTCTGGGGACCTTGCCCCAGACTAGGACCCCAAAGCTATACTCTCCACAGCCCTGGAGGCCACAGGACATAGCTGTCTCACCTCCTTGGGGACTTCCTACCAGCCCAGGGACCTGTCCCTCATAGCTCTAAGGGAAACAAGTGGTACACTGCTCACATCCCCTTTGGAAACCCATCCCAGGCCCAACCCAGTGATCCACTGGGTGGCCCCCTTCCACCCCGGTCCCTCCCACCCCCACCCCCGTCGCTCAGAGGAGTACTGGACAGTCTTTTCATCACTATAATTAATATTCACGTCTTTCATTGAGCTGAATGGAATTTACCAGCAGCAATGTCAAGTAGCTTCTTAGCTCCTGTCCTGCCTATGTCTTGCTAAAGAGCCTCTTGAATAGTTAAAGCGCTTGGTGGCTAGCTGGAAAGTCAGAGGTTCAAGTTCAACAAAGGGTGTCTGGGAAGAAAGGCCTGGTGATCTATTCACCATAAACCAGTCACTGGAAACCCTGCACAATGCTTCTCTACTCTTACACACAAGAGGTCACCATGAGTCTGAACTGGTCTTATAGTTATGTCATAGTTATGATGAACTGTCGTACTAGCAGGCTGGAGCACGCTTCCCAGGAAAGGAAGGGGTAAGCCACAGCTCTTGTCATTTTGATAGTTACCAAGATACCCCAATAAAGAATCAAGACCCCCACCATAGCACACACAAGAGGCCTTCTCCAGAAGGAAGATATTCCTATTTTTACTGAAAACCAGCAATGCTGTGGGGCTTATCAGGAGCAAAAGTGACATCCATTTCCTAAACCACATGCCTGTGGAAAATATGAACTTTAAGAGACGACAACAACTACAGAAAGGCTTCAGGTCTTTTGTTCATCGGGTCACTATGAATCGTACTTGACTCAACAGCAATCAATAACAACAATAACATATTCACTGAGAAGGTTCTGGAAGGGAGCCTTTAGCTGATAGTCATTGATCTGTCTCCTTCCCACCCCCAATACTTAGGAATGGAGCATCTGTAACTGACATCTCTAATCAATAGAAAACTATAGAAGGGAAAACTGACAATCCAAGGGTCTGAATTGGTCTCCCTTTTTTTTAATTGGTCTCTTTTTACCTGAAGCAACAGAGAAAGGAGAGTCAGGGGTTGTGAGCCTGTTGTGAGGTACCATGGAAGGTGGATGAACCCACAAAACTATTGCCTTATGTAATCTTTAAACTTTAAACCAAAATATGCCCTGAAGACTTCCGGTAGAGACTGATTCATGGCAACCCTGCATCAGATTTCTGAGGCTATAAACCTTCATAGGAGCAGATTGCTTTATCTTTCTCCAGAGTCGAACCCCTGACCTCCTGGTCGCATCCTAACCCATAACACATAACATAACACTATAGGACTTCCTTGAATCAAACCCTAGTTTAGCTTAATAAGAAATGTCTGTCTGGAGTGTTATGTTCTTTGGAGATCTGTTTGTGATTAAATTATAATAATGCAACTTAAAAATTTTGATAAGAAACTTAAGAAGCAGTTGAGTTTATGCTAATGTTGTTGTGTACTGTTGAGTTGGGACTGACATTACAGCAGGGTTTCAGAAGCCATAAATTACACAGGAGGAGATTGCCCATTTTTCTCCCTCAGAGCAGCTGGTGAATTCAAACTGCATGCCTTTGGGTTGACAATGCAATGAAGGCATTTGCAAAAAATCAGGCCCAAAATTGATGGGATACCAACTAAAATGTTTCCAATGACAGATGGCAGCCCTGGATGTGCTCACCAGTCTATTGCAGGAAATTTGGGGGACAGCTGTCTGGCAGACTGACTGGAAAAGATCCATATTTGTCCCCATTCTCAAGTAAGATGATCCAACAGAATGTGGAAATTATCAAACAATATTGTTAATATCACATGCAATACAAAAAATACAGCTGAGGATTATTTAAAAACAGCTAGAAGAGTACAAAGAGAACTGCCAGGTGCTCAAACTGGATTTAGAAGAGGCCATGACACCAGGGATATCATTGCTGATGTCAGATGGATTCTGGCAGAAAGCAAAGAACACCAGAAAAGTGTCTATCTGTGCTTTACTGACTATGTACAGGCACTTGATTGTGTGGTTCATACAAATTTTGGCTAACATTGAGAAGAATGTGAATCACAGAACACTTAATTGTGTTAGTGCAAAACTTACACCTAGACCAAGAGGCTGTTTTGTAAATAGAGTATGGGAACACAGCATGGTTTAAAATTAGGAAAGATGTGTGTCATATTTATTTAATCTATATGCTGTGAAGATTATTTAAGAAGCTGAACTTTAATCTTGAAGGGCCTCCTCAAGAAAAAGACTGATAACACAAATTACAAAATGGGCAAAAGACATGGAAAGACCTTTCACAGAGGAAGATGTTCGGATGGTCAATAGACACATGAAGAAATACTCAAAATCACTGGCAATAAGAGAGAAGCAAATAAAAATCACAATGAGATACCATCTCACCCCTGTAGCAGTGGCAAAGTTTAACAGGACAGCAAGTAATGAATGTTGGAGAAAATGTGGTGAGATAGGGACTTTTTTACACCATTGGTGGAATTGTAAAATAGTACAACCACTCTGGAAAGCAGTTTGGCATTTCCTCAGAAAGCTGAACATAGAAATTCTACATGACCCAGCTATTCCACTGCTTGGAATATACCCCGAGAAAATTAGAACTGAGGCACAGAGATTTGTGCACCAGTGTTCATAGCAGTGTTATTCGCAAGAACATGAAAACACATGTCCAACCACAATTGAATGGATTGAGAAATCATGGTACATTCACATGATGGAATACTTACTACACAGCATGTAGGATCATTGATTTTGAAAATCACTGTCTAACTTGGGAGAGACTGGACAGCATTATGCTAAGTGAACTAACTCAGTCCCGTACAGACAAATACTGTTTAAGACTATTATTGTAGAAATAGGATGGCCGGCGAAATGTGTGTGAGGATCCAAGGGGTGGAAGGTGGGAGCAGAGGGGTGAGGATTGGGGCGCAGGGGTGCAGAGGACAGATAATCATAGGGTCACACAATTTAATGGGTGGAGGGAAGGATAGGTCAAGGAAATGGGAAAGATCCGGTATGAAAAACAATGTATATGAACTTTGTGAGTAATCCAGTATAAATAGAAATTTTATTTTAAAGAAAAAGCTGAACTTCATGAAGAAGAATGTGGCATGAGGATTGGAGGAAGACATATGCAGATGACACACTTTGCTTGCTAGAAGTGAAGAGGACTTGAAGCACTTGCTGCAGAAGATCAAAGACTGCAGCTTCAATATGGATTGCATCTCAATGTCAAGAAAACAAAAATCCTAGCCACTTAGACCAACAGGCAAAATCATAGTAGTTAGAGAAAAGATTGAGACTGTCAATGACTTCATCTTTCTTAGATACACAATAAATACACATGGTACTAGCAGTAAGGAGATCAGGAAACACACTGGGAAAGTCTGTAGCAAGAGATTTCTTCAAATTACTGAGGAGCAATGATGATAGTTTGAGGACTAGGGTGTGCCTGATTTAGGCCATGGTGTTTTCAGTCACTTGCTATGCATCTGACTAAGAATGCCAGAAGAAGTGATATCTTTGAATTGAGGTGTTGGAGAGTAGTGCTGAATATCCCATGGACTGCCAAAAGAATAACAGGTCTTGAAAAAGGTACAGCCAGAGGCAAAGATAATAAAACTTCATCTCACATACTTTGGGCATGTTGCTAGGAGAGGCTATTCCTTGCAGAAGGACATCATGCTTTGGAAGGTGGAGAGATGGCATAAAAGATGAAGACTCTCAATGAGATGGATTGACACAGTGACTGCAGCAATTGACTTGACTATATCAGAGATTGTGAGATGCACAGGACAGGGTTCAGATCTGTTGTTATAGGGTCACTATGAGTCATTCTCCACCAGACAGCACCTAACGACAAGAATCCACCTGAGGAAAAGCACGTGGTTCTAACCCATCAGCAACTCTGTGATAGAACGGTGGTCAATCTACTAATGTGAGATTTACTGCCTCTGAAAACCTGCTGGAGGGTCAGCTATGGGTCAGTCCCAACTGCACAGAACAAAAAGCCACCAGAGCTGCCTTTATGTCAATGAGGGAGCCACAACTCAGACAGGGAGGCGGAGAACGGTTACAAAAACGGAAGAATGCCATCAATGTCAATGAGTTGTACATGGAGAAATTGTTGATTTGGTATTCTGCTGTGTAAGTTATCCACAACAAAACCAGAAACAACAATTTTAAAAGAAAATAAATCCCTATTAGGAGCTGTACTAACAGTGGACTTGAGCCTATCAGATTGCAAGAATATCACAGAATAAGGCAGGGTTCCAATCTGTTGTTCATAATAAGCAGTTTTATTTTTTTTCTTTTTTAATTTTTT